TTGGAGAAGGGAACATCCTTGAGCTTGGGTTGCCAATTTGAAATGATCTGGGTTTATGCTTGAATGACTTGCTTTTGTGGATTAGCATTCTCGTCTTTTTTTAAGGGAAGGGTAATGAAAATTTTAAGGTTTTTCCAAAAAGGGTGGTCACATTTCTAGAGAAATTTTGAATGATTTTCTGCATAGGAAAAATTAATGAACTTCTATCTAAATTCTTGAAAAACATCTGGTTTGATGGTTATGGTGAAAAGGTTGAAAAGGTTTTTCCAAGGTCTGGAATAACTTTCAAACTTTATACCTTTTTCACTAAGTCTTAAACCTGGTATACTGGTTATGACATTAAAACCAATAACAAGGTCTTTCTGAGAAAGTGAAGATCCTAAAATCTTTTAAGTTATTTGACAGCTTGAGAAAATCTGAAGGGTAACAGGGTTGCTGATAAAGTTTGTAGAGAATACAATCTCATCAGCAGTCTTGAAGAAGGTTTTTTGTTTTATCCAAAGGTTTTTAGGTAAAATAATGAGATTTGCTATAGTTTGGGCTGCACCAGTATCAAAGAAAGCTGTAACTGTTATGTGAGGAGAATATTTGTGAGTGAAGATTGAATTGGAGCTAAAGGTAATTTTGGAGGTTGAAGGGTATGAATTTTTTGGAGTTCTTGGACTAACATGTACTTATGGCATTGATCATCTGTGAAGTTATCTGAGTAGTCTGAGTCTGAAGTGTCATTATCATTATCAAACTACTTGATCACAAACAATAATCTTTCATTCTGCTCATCATTAAAGGAGAATATTGATTCAAGGTCATCATCAGAAAGATTGATACCAAAAATAGTAGCAATATCTTGTATCATCTTGACTTATCGTTTATTTGACTTTGGGCAATTCTTTGCAACATGTCTTAATTTTCCATGTTTATTTAAAATTTTTGTCAAAATATAAAATAAATAAAATTTTAATTTAAAATTTAAGTTTATTTTTAATTAATAATAAATCAAAATTATTTTTTTAATATCCAAAACTTTTCATAAGTATAATATTTTATATATTTACATATGTAAATAAAAAATAGAGACGGATTTGAATATCTAATAATATTTATTAAAACTGAAATAAATTCAATTATTGGATATTCAGATAAACTATTTGTATCTTTTTTGAATTTATCATGAATAATAAATTTTTTATTTAAATTCATTAATTAATTATTTATAATTATTAGAATTTGACGATAAAATAACGCCGGATATTCATTTATTTATGCCATCCCTATCGATGAAAGTGAGGCAAGCTGAAAGTCTAAACTCTAAAGTATGTTTCTAATATTGGGTGACTTCAATGAGGTGCTATCATCAAGTGAGAAACGAGGGGCAGACCTGTGATCAATAGTAGGTTACTTAAACTTCATGAATGCATCAATTCATGTAACCTTATTGACTTAAGTTTAAGGGCTGTCAAATATGAGAAATATTCAATATCCTATCCAGGAGAGGATTGATTACGCCTTAGCAAATCTTTCATGGAGGTTACTGTACCCTGATGTGAATATTAACCGCCTCGAGAGGGTCCGGTCAGATCACGCCCCCATTTTGATTTCCCTGAAGGCGCCCAGAAACAGTTAGAATGACACACCCTTTAGATTCCAGAGAAATGGGTAGACCACCCTGATTTTGAGAATGTGGTGACCAGTACCACCCATTTAATAAGCAACAATTTTGCTTTTGGCCAAACAATCCAAGCATTCACGGATAAACTAAAGCTAGGAACAAGGGACACTTTTGTCAACATCTTAAAAGAAAAGAAGAATTCCGGCCAAACTTAGGGGGATCGAAAGAGCCCTAGTTGTTAGACCATGCAGGTACCTCATTGAGCTGCAAAAAACACTGATGGAGGAATACTAGGAAATACTAAAACAGGAGGAACTATTGTGGGCCATGAAATCAAGAGTTGAATGGATGCTTGAAGGGGAAAGGAACACAAAATTTTCCATGTTACTACTCTGGTGAGGAGACACAGGAATAGAATTAGAGGACTTTTTGATGGTAACGGAACGTGGATCTCAAATGAAAGGGAAGAATGATTATGAACCACTTCACAGCCCTGTTCTCAACAGCCAACACGCATGAAAGGTTGATCTTGGAGCATAGCAATCTAAAGTCGACCACGTTAACCGAGACTGAAAGGCTACACCTCATGGCACCAATAACCGAACAGGACGTTAAGAAAGCTCTATGGTCTCTTAAGTCGTTTAAAGCATCGGGTCCGGATGGGCTTCACCCATTTTCTATCAACATTAATGAAACAAAGTTAAAAGCAAGGTGGTTGTAACATCCCATGCTGCTTTTGAGAAAGGAAGACTACCAAAGGGATTGAACGGAACTTTGATTGCGTTGGTCCCAAGAACCAATCTCCCAATACCGTGAACCATTTTAGACCGATAAGT